AACTGGACTAAACCAAAGCTAAGAAGTTTCCTGAATACAACCAAACACTTTGAGGAACAGAGCAGCAGGGGCAAGGGTCTGGGGACCGTGGTTTTGGGGGACATCTAAATCAACTGGCATAACAAAGTTTATTAAGAAAATGTTCTGCATCCTACTTCGGTGAGTGGCATCTGGGGTCTTATAAGCTAGTGAGCGGCCATCTAAGATCCATCAATTGGTCCCAACCCACCTGGAGCAAAGGAGAATGAAGAACACCAAAGACACAAGGAAAGTATTACTAGCCCAAGAGACAGAAAGGGCCACATAAACCACAGACTGCATCAGCCTGAGACCAGAAGAACAAGATGGTGCCCAGCTGTCACCAATGACTGCCCTGACAGGGAACACAACAGAGTCCTTGATGGAGCAGGAGAAAAGTGGGGTACAGAACTCAAATTCTAGTAAAAAGACCAGAGTTAATGGTCTGAGGAGACTGGAGGAACCCCAGAAAGCATAGCCCCTGGACTGTCAACCCAGAGCTGAAACCATTCCCAAGGCCAACTCTTCAAAGATTAGACTGGACTGTGGGACATAAAATGATACTCATGAAGAGTGTGTTTCTTAGCTCAGGTAGATACATGAGACTAAATGGGCAGCTCCTGTCTGGAGGCAAGATGAGAAGGCAGGGTTAGGAGCTGGTTGAACGGACACGGGAAATCAAGGGTGGAAAAGAGGAGTGTGCTGTCACAGTACAGAGAGAGCAACTAGGGTCACATAACTGTATAAATTTTTGTATGAGAGATGAATTGTAAACTTTCACTTAAAGTACAACAACAAAATAAAGAAATAAACTCTGGGCCTTGGCTCCAGAATTAGCATGACTAAGGAAGCCATCCCAACTCTTCCTGACACTCAATGACATAGGACTGTCCTAGAGCCAGTGGCATTTCCTAAAAAACTCAGACCCCTGGAAGAGGCAATAGAGAGGAAATTAATCAGGAAATGCAGGCTCAGGGAAGGGAAGTGAGGGTTTCAAGGTCACAAAGCAGCTAAGATGCTATTTGGCAAGATCTGAAGAACAAGAGCCTAACCAGCATCCTGTTATGTTTATTTCCATCTTATTATTTTCTTATAAGCATGTAGTAGGGGGATTGAAAGGACCAAGACTCTGGATGTGTCTGGTAAATACTGGGATTGAGGATTGAGGATATTATTTCAGTTGTAATTGTCAGATAAACACATCATGTAACAGAAAAGCTTCAGGTTTGGCTGCATCCAGGGACTTAATGATGCCGTCAAGAATGTGTCTCTTGAGTTCCTGTCTTGTGTTTCTGTCATTGACAGCTAAATTCTCCCCAAAATGTAAGATGACCAACAAGAACTCCAAGTTTATATCCTACTTGCCTAGTCATTCCAGAAGAAAAAATGTTTCTTTCCCAATAGTTCCAGCAAAGACCCTAGGATTGCATCTCATTGGCCTAACTTGGGTCACTAATCTATCCCTGAACTAGTCAGTGTAGTCTAGGGTGGCAGGGATGGAATGCTTTGGTGTACCAGGCCAGGGTCATCTGTCCACACTGAAACTGCAATGTAAGGCAGCCCCACAAAATCACATGTACTGAGAAGAAAGTATGAGGCAGGATAGTTCCCCAAAGGACAACCCAAGTGTTCTTACCAGAAGACGGAGGAAAGGATGCTAAGCAGGCAAAACCAATAATCAACCTCTACAAGGTGAGCAGGAGCCACAAGTAATGGGTGGGTCACATCCACGACAGTCCATATGACTGGCCTTAACCTTTTAACTGAGTTGTCTGAATGGCCTCTTACATGAGTTTAGCAAATATTTCCTTTGTACCTACTATGTACAAGGTCCAGCACCTTCCACATAATAGATGCACAGCAAGATATTCTCCTGCCACCAACCCTAGTAGGACAATTCCAGACTCAAGCTACTGCTTCCCCTCCATGGGAATACAGCAGGCAAAATCCTCTCAGAAACCAGCTCTGATGTCACTTCACATAAAGTCTTCTCTTGACTCCCTCCCCTGCCGTAGTCACCTTCCATCTACCTCTGAACTTAGTACACTGTGCCATAATATATTGATTCCCCTCTCTGTCTCCTCCACTAATGAGTGGCAAGGCTGAGGCTCATTCATCCGTGTATCCCCAGTGCCCACGATATAGTAGATGCTCAAAAACGTTTGTTGATCTGAGTGAAAATTAGTTCCCAGGAATGGCCTGGCCTTAGTCTTTCATGGAAGACGCCTAAAACAATTTATCTTCACTTCCCAACCAGCTTTCCTTTCAAGAGCCAGTTTGTCACTACTTCAATTCAACTGAACTAATACTTACTGAATGTCTATCATGTGCCAGGTAGTTAGGCTTTGGGGATTCAGAAATTAACAAGATACATTTCAAATTCAGCACCCTCGTAAGAGGCCAGAACCAGCTCTTCTATCAGAATTTCTTTGGCTGGGAAAAAATATATATATATCAGTCCTGGTTTCTACTCCGCTTTGTGACCTGGGGATGGTCATTCTCCCTCCCTGGACCTCTTTACCCCAGAAAAGAAGGACTGACTTGGTATAAAGTCTAATAATTTAACAGACATATATGTGTTGAATTGGACTCTCTACATTTGACCAGGCTAAAAACCAGGGAGTCATCCTTGATTCTTCTCTCACATTCCTATCCAATCTGCCAACAAATCCTGTTGACTTTACTTTCAAATCTGGAATACAACTATGCCTCACCACCTCACCCAGCCTGGTACAAACCACCAGTATCTCTTGCTAAGGTCATTTCTGTAACCTCCTGACTGGTCTCCCTGTTTCTACTTTTGTGCCCCTACAGTCAATTCTCAGAGAGCAACCAGAGTGATTCTTTTAAAGTGGAAGCTCAAACCCTCCAATCGCTCTCCAACTTATTCAGAATAAAAGCCACACAACCCTATATGGTTGGTCATTCACTCCACCCAAGCCACGGTGGCCTCCTTGCTGTTTCTCAAACACAGCAGGCGCGCTTGCACTGACTGTTCCCTTTGCCTGGACTGCCCCCTTCCTTCAGACCACTGCATGACTGATTCACTCATTTCCTTCAAGGGTTTTCTCAAATCACCCTCTCAGTGCTACTCTGACAACCCTATTTAAAATTGCAACTCCTCCCAGCCACCTTCCTCATTTTCTTTCATTGTGATCATTCTCTTCTATCACACTACAGAATTTGCTAATTTTGTTTATCTGTCTTCTTGCCCTTGACTGTAAGCTCTATAAATATTTATTAATGAAATATCTATTAATTTATTCAGTTAATTGAATTAATAATTGATGTCTATTATGTGCCAAAGGAGCCCTGGTGGCACAGTGGTTAAGTGCTTGGCTGGTAACCGAAAGGTCGGCAGTTTGAACCCACAGTGGCTTTGCAGGAGAAAAGACCTGGCAATCTGCTGTCATAAAGATTACAGCCTACAAAACCCTAAGGGGCAGTTCTACTCTGTCATACAGGGTTGCTATGAGCCGGAATCCACTCAACTCAATGGCAAACAACATTATGTGCGAAGTACTGTGCTAAGCAATAGAGCTACAAGGTGATTGAGACAGCTTATAAGTCTAGTGAGAGAATAAATAATAACAATTAGTAGCAGTAGTAATAGCACATTTATTGAGTGCTTCCTCTGTGTTAAAGGAGCCCTGATTGTGCAATGGTTGGCTGCTAATCAAAAGTCTGGTGGTTCAAACCCACTCAGCCACTCTGAGAGAGAAAGACCTGGCGATCTGCTGTAGAACTGCCCTAAAGGGTTTCTAAGGAGAAGTGGATTCAAACTGCTGACCTTTTGGTTAGCAGCCTGAGCTCTTAACCACTGCGTCACCATGGTTCCATCAATAAAGATTACAGCCTAGAAAACCCTATGGGGCAGTTCTACTCTGTCACATGGAGTGGCTATGAGTCAGAATCGACTCAATGGCACCTAACAACAACTTTGTTAGTGCTTGCCATACATAATAATAATGATGATGGCTAACATGTATTAAAAGACTCTGTACTACATGCATTATCTCATCTAATCCTCACCAAGCGCTATAAGGTGAACATTACTAGCCTCATTGTAAAGAACAAGAAACAAGATTTCAAGGCTTGGAAATGGCAACAGGCAGGATTCGAACTAAGGTGGTGGCAGTGAGAAAGGAGAGGAAGGGTCAGATGTGAGAAATATTTAGACTTAGGATCAGCACGCCTAGGTTAACGGTTGGATATGGGGGTGAGGGAAAGGGAAAATGACTCTCAGCGATAGAGTCAAAGACAAAGATGAAAGCCTAATCTGGGATGCGTTGAGTCTGAGGTGTCTGTGGGCCACTCAGGGCGGTGTCCGGAGGCAGCTGGAGACAGTCCATCTCGGGCAGGAACGGAGAAGCGATTCCGGGCCCTTTCCTCGGCCTGAAGAGACGCTAGGAGAAGGCACGCGAAGGAAGAACAGGAAGTGGATTCCCCTCCCTCATGGGTATCTTCAGCAGCAGCAGCAGCAGCAGCAGCAGCAGCAGGAAGGGAGCGGGGGACCAAGAAACAAAGAGCGCGCCGGCACCGCCTTTGTTCCGGCGGCCCCTTTAAGAAGCGCGCCCCCAGCTTCTAGCCCGCCTTGTATGCATATTTAGTGGCGAGGCGGGAGCGCGCGGCTGATACCCGGAGACTGGGCTGAGGCGGTTAGTCCTCTCCCGGCCGCCGTCGCCTCCGACATATTGCCCGCAGGAGCTGCGGCGGCGAAGCGGAGAACGCCGGGGGGAGGAGATGGGTGAGCAGAGCGGGCTAGACTCGGCCCAGGAACGAGCGGGCGTGGGGGGTCAGGATGGCCATGCTGCGAATTGCTGCCCCACGCGGACAGGAGACTGGCGAGGGGAGGGGGAGGGGATGCGGCAACATGCGGGACCCCGCCCCCTCCTGTCGTTTGCGGGGTGGGGCTTCTGTTGTGGAGGTGGGGCATTGGGGTGTGGGCGGGGCTTCTAAAATGAATTGGGCTTGTAGGGTTTGAGCTTCGTTGAGGACCTGCTCTTCTGGGCAAGAAGCGGGAACTGGGTTTTCGTGGTGGGGGCGTGGCCTTAGTGCTTGGGCGGAGCATATGGGCTGTAGGTGCTTTTGCGGGGGTGGGGGGTGGGGAGGAGGCGAAATTTCTGGGCTGTGGGAGCTTATGCTAGAGGTGGCGGGTGGGAAGGAGGCCTTATGGACTAAGAAAGCCCATTCTGGGGCGGGGCCTCTGAGCTGAGAGGGTTTTTATTGGCTTGTGGGTGGAGTTTCTGGGCTGATAGTTGTGTGTAGGCGGGTCTTCTGGATTTAGGTGCTTTATGTGGGTGCAGAGCTTCTGAAGATAAGAGGTGGGTGTGGGCAGAGCTTCTGGATTGAGAGTGCCCTCAGATTTAATAAACGGAATATAATAGTGTATGAACAGAGCTTCTGGTTTAGGGGCTTGTTGAGGACAGAGCTCCTGGACAAGTACTTTTTGGAGACTTGTGTGGGAAAATCTTCTGAACTGAGGAGCTAGGGCAAGGGGGAGTGGAGACTGCTGTGCTCCTTTGAGGGGGTGTGAACAAGGTTATAGTTTTGATTAGGAGCTAGGGTGGTACTTAGGAGCTTTGTGCGGGGTGGAGCCTGGGGACTTGGAATAGACCACTAAGCCTAGGGAAATAGATCGTGGGTCTAAGTTTGAAACCCACATCCTTGACCCTGTGCTCAGACCCTGTGTCCTGCCCCATGAGACACCAGAATAACCATTAAGCTAGATCTTGGTACTCTGGAGGAAAAGGCTGTCTCAAGAATACTCAGAATTGTAAGCCCCCCAAAACTTGTAATATGTAGATGGGGCCCTGTGCCCACCAGAGCTGAAAGCATAGAACTCAGACCCCAGTACTGCTTGTGACACAGGGTAAGCTCAGTTTCCTAATGTGTGAAAAACCTACCTTGCTAAATTCATTCACTCCTCAGCATATACTTATTGGACACTTACTTTATGCTGGGCACTGTGATAGGGATAGGGAACACAGCAGTGAAAAAGACAGATAAGGTTACTGACCTCGTGGACCTTCCATTCAATAGCAGAGACAATAAGTATGTTAGCAAATGAATAAATAAGATAATTTCACAGAGTGAAATGTTGTGGGGGAAAAAATAGAAATACGATAGAGGATGATGGGGGCAGTTACTTAAAAAACCGCAGTCAGGGAAGGGCTCTCCAGACAGAGGGTATAGCAGGTGCAAGAGGTAGCAACGAGCTTAGCTTGCTGAGGAAAGAAGCCAGGATGGCTGCAGCATGGGGGTGAGGGAGAGAATGGTAGTCAGTGTCCAGATCATAGGCCCCTGTGAGGATTAAATGATAAAATGAGCTACCAAGTAACTGGTAGCCCGTATCATTATTGTTATCCTTGGTAAATGATACACTCCTTGGCTTGAGGATCTGCCTTATGTTGAGCCCCACAGGAGGACGAAGAGGTCCCAACAGGACGTCCTACTGTCGAAATCCACTCTGTGAGCCAGCATCCTCAGGGGGCTCTGGTGGGGGCCACACCTCCAGTGCCTCGGTCACCAGTGTCCGTTCCCGCACCAGGTAAATTATCTCTCTGTCTCTTGCCTCTCGCTGTGGACTTACAGGGACAGTGTGAACAAGACTGTCCCTGGCTGGGCTCCAGGATGAGATATCCCAGATGTCAGGTGGAGGCATAGAGGCAGTAAACAGCAGAAAAGACCCAGAGTAAGCTGGCTGAGGGTGGTCATTTGGACAGAAGCAGTGGGATAAGCCCAAAGGCCTAGGTTCCAATTACAGTTCTGCTCTTGGTTTGCTAGTAGTTTAGACAAGTTGCCTCTCCTCTCTGGGCCTCTTTTTCCTTATCTGTAAAATAACTTAATAATTTTTTCCTCCTGAGCATGTTGGAAGACCTGAACAAGATTAAACCCACACGCACTGCCGTCGAGTTGATTCCAACTCAGTAACCCTATAGGTCAGGGTAGAAAACTGCCCCATAGGATTGCCAAGGCTATAACCTTTATGGAAGCAGGCTGCCACATCTTCATCCCGTGGAGTGGCTGGTGGGTTCAAACTGCCATCCTTTTGGTTAGCAGCCGAGCACTTTAACCACTGCGCCATAGGAAAAGGCTTTGTTGGCTCCTTTGTCTGACAGGCAGGAGTAAGAGGACTCTGTCCTTGCCATGAGCTACTTTTCTGATCCTGCCCCCTAATCCTGTGCCCCAGAAACCCTTCCTGGTAGGGTACTCAGATCAGCTCCTGATGTTGTTCCCTCCCCACCCCCAGGAGCAGTTCTGGGACGGGCCTCTCCAGCCCCCCACTGGCCACCCAGACGGTTGTGCCCCTACAGCACTGCAAGATCCCTGAACTGCCAGTCCAGGCCAGCATTCTGTTTGAGTTGCAGCTGTTCTTCTGCCAGCTCATAGCCCTCTTCGTTCATTACATCAACATCTACAAGACAGTGTGGTGGTATCCGCCATCCCACCCACCCTCCCACACCTCCCTGGTAGGTGCCCGGCCAGGGCCAGCTGTGTGTGTATGGGTGTGACGATTGGTTTCACTTTAACGTAGTTTATCAAGTGCTCGTGTGCCTGGCCCCATGCTAGGCATGGAAAGTGTAGAAGGAATAGGAAAGTGACAATTCCTGAGTGCTCCTAGTGTGCTCAGTACCATACTAGCCATTCTAAGGACAACACAGGTATTGCCTAAAGGAGCTCAAGAGTCTTAAGTCCTGTAGGAGATGAACCGTGGGCATACATGAGTGTTTTAAGGGGTGGACAAAGCTCTGTGCAGCAGGAGAGGTGCAGGGACAGGGCATGGGTGATCAGAACAAGAGAGCTCACATACCACTCTCTTATCCCCAGGGACTGTCCCACTTCCCTCCTCTGGGTCCTGTTCTACTCCTCTAGGTACTTTCCTGGCCTGACTCAGCTGGAGGCCTATGAAGGTTAGAGAGTGGGGACAGTCCCTATGGAAAGGACTGGGCAGGGGGAGGTGGGTTGTTAAAAGCCTGTGTGTGGGCAGGGGGCCTGCGTGACCCCCAGGCCTCTGCCCTCTGACAGAACTTCCACCTGATCGACTTCAACTTGCTGATGGTGACCACCATCGTTCTGGGCCGCCGCTTCATTGGGTCCATCGTGAAGGAGGTGATTGGGTCCTAGAGGCTGGCCAAGGATTTTGGGACTCCCATTTCCCCCTGGGGTGCCAAGGAGATACCCACACACCTAGTCCTTCAACTCTGAGACATTTTCTCAGGGCTCCCTTTGGACTTGGTTGAAGAACATTACTCACATCCTATTGGCTCTTGGAGTTTACTAGGTTTCAAGGAAAAGGATTTGTCTTGCCAGGTTCTGCCCAGCTGCTGCCCCGCCCCCCCTTTCCCTGGGTGGGATCACAGTCCATGCAGGGTGGTATTTGGGCACAGCCCCTTTGGCCTCCATCCAAGACCCCATCCCATCTATCTCGCCCTGACCCAGGCTTCTCAGAGGGGGAAGGTCTCCCTCTTTCGCTCCATCCTGCTGTTCCTCACCCGATTCACCGTTCTCACGGCAACAGGCTGGAGTCTGTGCCGCTCCCTCATCCACCTCTTCAGGACCTACTCCTTCTTGAACCTCCTGTTCCTCTGCTATCCGTGAGTACCCTTCACCTCACCCCTCCCCGCCTAGCACCCAGTCCCTGACCTCTGTCCTGAGTGTGGCATGGTTACCAGGCCCCCAAATCGGGAAGGCTCACAGGCAGGGCAGCAGCAATATCGCCTCACATTATCAGACGACATCCCTGTGAGATCTGGGTGGTTAGCCTTCTTTTGCAGGACAGGAAACTGAGGTGGCATAATTTATCCAATGTCCCACCCAGGGGGAGCCCAGAACGAAACTCAGATCTGAGTATCTATCTCAAAGGATAGCTCTATCCCAAGGAAAATGCACAGACTTTGTCTCTCTCTTCCTTTCCTCCCTCTCTGGTTCTTAATCTTCCTCTGTTTCTTTCTCTTGTGTGTCTCAGTATTTGTGTAATCTCTGGGTGCTTCCCCTGGGGCTGTGTGCATGCAAGTACCTGCATGTGTGCATGTCTCTGTGTGAATGTGCGTGAAGCGTGTGTCTGTCTGTCTGTTTTACGCCCTCCCTCCCACTTTTTCACCAGAACTCAGATTGTTAAGGATAGAAAGATAGTATCTGGGAGAACACTGCCCCTTTCTGGCCTAGAATCGGGGCAGGATTTGGCAAGGCATCCTTCTGGCTGCTCCTGGGTTAGGCTTCTGGCTGCCTGACATTAGCATTCATTTCCCAACCCCTGAGCTTTCTGGTTTCTGAACTTCTTCAGTCTGGGCCAGCCCTGTCCCTGGGAAGGTTCATGGCTGGACTCTCCTCCCTTTCTGTTCTGCATGACCGAAAGGGCACTGGCATGGGAGCCCCATCACACTTGCTTCAGGTGTTTTTTCTTATATCTAGTTTCTAATTATAAAAGTGATATATGTGTCTTATAAAAACATGAAACTTTACAGACGCTTTTGACGCAGAAAATGAAAGTCCCAGGTAATTCCAGTCCCTCAGAAAACGATTATTTGCAATGTATCCTTCCAAATTTTTTCTGTGCAAGTACATACATATTTTTAAAAACAAACGGGGTTATGCTGTGTATGATGCTAAACAGTTCACTGTATTTTTTATATAATCGTATAACTTGATGTTTTTCCATGGCAATATATAAAATTCTGCCTCACTTTTTAATGGCCTCTATAGTATTCCATTATATAGGTTTTTCACAATTTGGTTTGTTTTCCATTGGTAGACTTTTGAGTTGTTTCTAGCTTTTTGTTATTTGAAACAATAAGGCAGGGAACATTCTTTTGCACGTATCTTTGCACATTTGTCCAATATTTCTATTCAGCAGAAGTAGAATTACAGCACCAAAAGGTATGTCTGTTTAAATTTTTTGTAAATATTAACAAATTGCCCTCCAAAAAGGTTGTACCAATTAATACTGTCAAGAGTTGCCTTAAATTTACACTTTCTGGTTATTACCTTGTGAGTCCCATTTCCTTGAATATAGACATCACCCAATGTTCATATTTTCCCTTTTTTTTATTGAAAAATTTTTATCAACATCATGCAGGTACATTGTAAAAATTCAAATCCAGTAATGCCGTAAAGCTTATGATGAAAAGCAGTAGCCTCCAACCCCACCTTCAGATTTTTAGTCCCACTCCTCAAAAGCACTCTCTTTCACTGCTTAGGACTTTAAGTGTTTTTAGGGGTATCTCCATAATTTTAGTATCCTTTTACCTTTATTTGTTCTTTTTAAAATTTTGTTTTTGGATTTTATAATTGGGTAATAAGTTCACATAGTTAAAATGTAAAAGGTATAAAAGATTATAGAGTGAAAAAGTCTATCCTGACTTTTTCTCCCAGCCCTACCCAGTTTCCCTTTCAAGAAGTAACCACCAAGGTTTCCATCTTCTTGTGTAACCTTCTGTAAATAAGTGTTCTATGCATATTTAAGCAACCCCCCTCCCGCAACACACGTATATACACACATAGATTCTCTGCAATGACAGATGAATAGTTAACTCGCTCTCCCATCCCTGCTCCTTCCAATATTTGATGGCTGTTGTTATTTTTAGTTCATTTATTGGTTATCTTTGTCAATAATATAAGTATGCCTCTTTCTTGTTCCATCAACAGCAGTCAGTATCTTGACGAGGATATTAGGAACCTTACCCATCCACCTTTCCTCCCTTCTTCCTCCTCTCACTTCCTGGCATCTGTACTTTAATATTGTCAAGTTTGACATTCACATTCTTCTATATAACCACTTATAAGTTTTCCATTGTTTATCTAAGACTAATTGCAAAAATTAAAAATCATTAAGTAGCCTTGATATTATTATGAGTATAACAGTACTGTTCACTGCAGGGCCAAGTAGTGTGCATAGGTAACATTCCTTCTCTATAGTTAACGAGTTACAGTCTTGAGCCTCTTAAAAAAGAATGTTCTCAGCGTCAAGGTCAAATGATTTCTCTTTTCTTACATTCCATCAATTGCTTAAAATCATGTCACATTTTAGTTTGCTTCATATTTCGATTGTAACTTTCTTGTACAGCTTTTTATTTTTATTTTTGGAGTTTCTAATTGCCTTTCTTTTTTCTTGTTGACAAAAGAATGATGGGCCTTCAGCATATCCTCAAGTTTATCCAGCCTCTCAGTCATGCTACCTGTTGCCTGGAGTCCATTTTTTCCCCCAAAGACATCCTTCCTGGAGCCCTCCATCCTCCTGCTCCAGTCTGGTGGTTACTCTTTAGGCCTGGTGTACAGCTCTCAGCCTGGGACTTCCCTTCGCTGCCCTCCTGGGTTGGATCCACTGTTTCCTGGATCCCATGTCTTCTTCTTTCTTGGTTTTCTCCCTTATTATGCTGGAGTACATTATCAGGTAATTTCCTTAACAATGGGTATGTGGGAGGTACGTACATTCCAAGTACTTGCATGTTAAAAAATGTCTTTATTCTGCCCTCATACTTAATTGATGGTTAGGCTGAATGTAGATTTCTAAGTTCAAATTCATATTCTCTCAGAATTTTGAAGATGTTGTTCTACTGTCTTTGGCATCCAGTGTTTTAGTGAGAAATGTGATACTAGTATTCTGACTCCTTTGTAGTGACTTGTTTTTTTCTTTCTGAAAGCTTTCAGGAATACTCCATCTTGATTATTTGAAATTTCTCAAGGATATGTCTGGTATGGAACTTTTCGTGATTCATCCTATCAGTACTCTAGTACTTTTTTAACCTGAGATTTGGGTACGTCTTAAGCTCAGGGAAATTTTCTTCTGTTATTTCTTTGATAATATCTTGTCCATTTTTCCTATTCTCTCTTTCTGGAATTTCTGTTCATCAGATGGTAGAACTCATAGATTAGTCATCTGTTTCTCTTATATTTTTCTTCATATTTTCCATTTCTTTCTTTTTCTCTCTCTGTCTCTCTGCTTTGCTTTCACAGAGATTTCAACTTTATCTTTCAGCTTTTTTATTGAGTTTTTTTCAGCCATCTTATTTTCATCTCTAAGGCCTCTTCCTTGTTTTCTGATTGTTCTTTTCTCATAACATCCTGTTCTTGTTTTAAAAATTCCTTATGTTCCTTCAATTGTGTCTTTATACCAGGGTCAGTTTTTCTGTTTCATGCTGCTGGTTTTCTTTGGTTGTGTATTTATATTTAAGAATGAAGGACTGAGTAGCTGGAGTGCATTTTCTTTCCCGTTGGCATTGTATAAGTGTGTAGGAGGTTTGACTGGGAATTCTAAGTACAGTACATGGGCATGGCACCCTGATTGACAGGCTTTGCTTTAGGATGAATGGATGAGGTGCTAACTGCGAAGTTGTGGGCCCCTAAAGGCCCAGTTAGAGGGGGGCTGTTACCCTAGATGCCTCCATTAGAAACCTCAATTCTCCTCAGTCAGTTTATTCAATTTCTTTAGAGAAGAATCTGTTAGGTGAGTTGTATGAGGTAAGTAGGGGAATAACAAGATTGACTCTTATAAGTAAATACAGATCTTTATTTAATCCTTTTTGTTCAGCCCTTCTTCTTTTTGTTCCCTCTGTTGAGTTTGCCTACTTCAAGCCAGAGTCTCTCTGGGGTCACTCTGGACAAATAAACTCCCACCCATCTTGTATGTTCTAGACCTACGCCACTGAGTATAGTAGCCACTAGCCACATGTGGTTACTGAGCACTGGAAGTAGGCTAATCTGAATTGAGATGTGCTGTAAGTGTAAAATACATACCAGAATGGTGAATGTGGTTGGTGTCACTGAATTGTACACTTAAGAGTTGTCGAAATGGCAAATTTTTTGTCATGTGTATTTTACCAGAATTTAAAAAAGAAAACATCATAAATTAAAAAAAAACCCAGCTTTCATTACTACCAAAAAAAAAAGTAAAATATCTCAATAAATATTGATTACATGTTAATAATGATAATATGGATATATTGAGTTAAATAAAATATAATACTGAAGTTAATTTCATCTCTTTTTTTTTAAATGCAGCTACTAGAAAATTTTATATTACATGTATGGCTCACATTATATTTCTAATGGACAGTGCCGCTCTAGATGATGACTTCCTCCTTGTCTCTCAGCATGTTTTCATCTGCTCTTTAAATTTGTTCAAATCACTTGTGTACTCATGACCATTCTCTTTGCTAATACGGATTTATTTTCAACTTTTATACCGTCATGTCTTGGACGGAGGGGATGGAAGGAAATTACCATCTTGCATGTGAAGTTGCTTGTAACTTCTGACCTGCCAGAGCAGTCATTTGTCTGCTTAATTTAATTGACTATGAAGGAAGGGACTTGGCTCTTGCTTCCTACTATATCCCCAGTGCTCAGCACAACTCTTGGCACATACTCAATGCTAATACATGTGTTGAATGACTGACCATTGGATGGGAAGATGGAAGAATGAAAGGATGGGTAAATTCTCCTCTCCGAGCAGCCAGGAGAGCTGAGGCCCAGGGAGGAAAGATTTCCTTCCAGTGGCTGAGGATTGGGTCTTGGCCCATGGGGTAGCCCTGCCCTCACCGCCATCTTTCCCAGCAGGTTTGGGATGTATATTCCATTCCTGCAGCTGAACTGTGACCTCCGAAAGACGAACCTCTTCAGCCACATGGCCTCTGCGGGAAGCCGGGAGACGGTCAGCGGCCTGTCGCGGAGCCGGGACTACCTGCTGACACTGCGGGAAACGTGGAAGCAGCACACACGGCAGCTGTATGGCTCAGATGCCATGCCCACCCACGCCTGCTGCCTGTCTCCCAGCCTCATCCGCAGTGAGGTGGAGTTCCTCAAGATGGACTTCAACTGGCGCATGAAGGAAGTGCTCGTCAGTTCCATGCTAAGTGCCTATTATGTGGCCTTTGTACCCGTCTGGTTTGTGAAGGTACGTAGCTCAGCCCAGCCGGGGAGAGGGCCTGTACCTGCCTGAGGTCTGACCCTGCTGCCTGCCTCATGTGAGCCCTCCTGCTTGCATAAATAACTGCCATTTAATGGGATTTCACATCTGCTCTCCTCTGGAGGGCTAAAGTGACTACTGTCTCCATTTTAGGCTCCCTGAATTAACCTGCCCAAGGCCACCCAAGCATTGAGGAGGACATGGCGTTGTTGTTCATGATACTTGATAACAAAGAGCAGTGACTTTGTGTTTCACTGTGGCTCTTTTGGTATAGGCATGTCACAGTGCCCTGCTTTGTTACTAAGGAGGAACCAGGATTCATCCAGATCTGAGTGACTCCAAAAGCCTGTGCTCACTTCCTTTGCTTGTGTGGCCTCCTGGGAAGTACCTCCTCAGTTGACAGTAGGCTTGAAACATTTCTCTAAGGATGGACTACACTGAGTGATTTGAGTGTGAGAAGACTTAATGTCTGTTGAGCACCTACAATGTGCTCATGTATTATAACCCTCCTGATACCTCTCAGGGAGCCCTGTTGGCACAGTGGTTAAGCACTCAGCTGCACACCAAAAGGTTGGCAGTTTGAATCCACCAGTCGTTCCGTGGGAGAAAGATGTGGCAGTCTGCTTCTGTAAAGATTTCAGCTTTGGAAACCCTGTGGGGCAGTTCTACTCTGCCCTTTAGAGTTGCTATGAGTCGAAATTGACTCGATCGCAGTGAGTTCGGTAACATCTCTCAGAGACAGTTGGTGATTGCTTTTATCCTTGTTTATGACAGGTGACAAAACTAAAGGACTGAGAAGTTAAATGAATTGCTCGAGGTCACAGAGTTAATAAGCAGTAGAGTCAGGATTTGAACTTGGATCTGTTACACCGCAGAGCCTGTGATCTGGCTCAGAGTGGGGGCAGCTGGCGCAATTTTTCTTTGTAGAAAACAGACTAGAGGGCACGGAGTCAGAGCCCATGATTAAGCCTTCCTTGTTAGATATTTGATCTTTGGTTTCAGGCCACCCTGATGTCTTACCAGGCTGTCCTGACTCCCAGGGCTGGTAGAATCAGGGCAGGGAGTGGGGGTGAGGCCCACATGGGGCTCCCAGGCCTCACCTACCTCCCACCACCCACAGAACACACATTACTATGACAAGCGCTGGTCCTGTGAGCTCTTCCTGCTGGTGTCCATCAGCACTTCGGTGATCCTCATGCAGCACCTGCTGCCTGCCAGCTACTGTGACCTGCTGCACAAGGCTGCTGCCCACCTGGGCTGCTGGCAGAAGGTGGATCCAGCACTGTGCTCCAACGTGCTGCAGCACCCGTGAGTCTCCCTACCTTGCTCTGCCCAATCCCACCCCTCCTGGTCAGTATCCGGAGTCACTTGCCCACTCACTCATAACTCATTCATTCAGTCAGCAAGTCAGCAAATAGTTACTGAGCCTGTCTTGTATGCTATGCTTTGTGTCCATAGTAAGGTGTAGCAGGGCCCGAGATGGACATGTTCCCCGTCCTTGGGTAACTTGCAGTGCACTGGAGATTGGAAGGGGGCGGGCAGTAAATTCATGGACTCATTAACTGTCTCATTCACTGACTCATTTCTTCACTCATTGACTGACTTGCTCATATAGTCATGCATTCGTTCACTCCTTCTCTCAGCTGTTCCTCACTCATCCACTCAATCACTTCACTCTTTCAGCAGACATTTACTTCCACTTAATCCATACCAAAAAGGAGCCCCGGTGGTGCAGTGGTTAAGCACTCAGCTGCTAACCAAAAGGTCAGCAGTTCAAACCTACTAACTGCTCCATGGGAGAAAGATGTGGCAGTCTGCTTCCGTAAAGATTACAGCCTTGGAAACTCTATGAGGCAGTTCTACGTCCATTAGGTTGCTATGAGTCAGAATCAACTTGATGGCAATAGATTTGTTCTTGTTTGTTTGTTTGTTTGAATCCGTACCAGGCTCGGTGCTGTGTATTAGCAAAGGAGCTTGAACTTTGACCTCTAGGCAGAGGGGAGCCATAGAGGGTTTTGAAGAGTGGAGGGATCATTCCAAGGTGTGCTTTAAAAACATCAGTCTGGTGACAGGATATGGTGCTGTTTTTGCTGGTGGTGAGCCCTAGCCAGGGTGGGAGGGCCATAGGGAAGAAATGACCAAGATGAGAACCTTAAGGAGTTCAGTCAGGTGAGGGAGATAGCCATGTACACAAATAGGATGAGTCGGGGAGAGAGGCCTAGCTACAGGATGCACCCAAAGCAGAGACGAGTCACCCTGCCCAGGAGCCCGTAGGTACTGGTCTGTCCTCCCCTCAGCCTGGCTCATCCTTTAAGGTTGCCTAGCATTTCTGCAGCCCTTCATTTCATCACAGTGCTTTTCACCCTAGGTTATATAGTTTTTCTGCCTGTCTTCCCCCATTACTCTGGAAGTTCCTCACAACCTCATCAAGACACCAGCGCAGGTAGAATGAGAGCAGGGATGGGGCCCCAGCATAAAAACTGGCAGAGAGGAGGCCACTAGGACAGTTTTACAGAGATGGGCCTACCCAAGGGAGCAGAGATGCAGAGGGAGGCCACAGAGGCCAAGCCCCCTTCTGGTGATGGTTCTCCATGCCAATCAGGGCCCCTTTTGGGCTCTGTTCAGGTGGTCCGGGAAAGAGATGGGCATTGCCGAATGGGCAGAAAGAGGGCTTGGCTGAACCTCAGGCTCTGAGTGGAGGAAGGAGTAGAAAACTAGAACGTTGCTTAGTATGAAGATGAACCTGTCCATGACTCATCACGGTCCTCAGATAAGATCCACGCTCCTTTGCGTGGCTTCCCAGCTGATGAACTGGGTCCTGTCAGCCTTTCCTGCCTCATTTCACACCACACCCCACCTTATACTCTGCTTCAGCCAGACCAAACCTCTTCAGGTCCTCCAGTGCTTTCTGCACTTTTGTATCCTGGCCTTTGTACAAGATGTACCTTCTGCCTGGAATGCCCTTTCCAGCCTTCATTTCCTGGCTAACTTCTGTTCATCTTTTAGCACTTTGCTTCCTCCAGGAACACTTTCCTGACTACCCAGGGCAGGTTCAGTGCTGCTCCCTTATGCTCCCAACCAAAATAAAACCAGTTGGCATCAAGTTGATTGTGATTCATGTCAACTCCATGTGTGCAGAGTAGAGCTGTTCTATAGGATTTTCAAGGCTGTGACCCTTCAAAAGCAGATCACCAGGCATTTCTTTTGAGGCGGCTCTGGGTGGGTTCAAACTGCCAACCTTCCGGTTAGCAGTTGAGTGCTTAACCGTTTGTACCCCCCAGGGATTCCTCTTACGCTCTCACAGCCCCCATAACACCTTGATAATTGCGCTTAACACTTTCTGCTGGGTTTGCTTAGTCACTTACCTGTCGTTCCAGGACTGAAAGTTCCTGGAGGTCAGGGCCCTTGCCCGTCAAGCACTCAGCTGTCTCCTCACTTCCAGCAGAGGAGTGTCTGTCTTATAGTAGGCACACAGAACATTTTTTTGTGTGTATATAGTTTTGTTTTTGTTTAAGTAAAATTCACATAGAATGAAATGCACAAATCTTAAGTGTACAATTATTTGAGTTCATACACCTATGTAACCCACCTGCAGCCCCTCAGAAAATGTCCTCATGGCTCTTCCCAGTCACCCTTTAACCCTGAGACTACCACCTTTCTGCTTTCTTTCGCCATAGGTTAGTTTTGTCTGTTCTAGAATTTCACATAAATGGAATCATACAGTAGATAATCTGTGTCCAGCTTCTTTTATTCAGCATACTGTCTGTGAGGTTCAGCCATGCTGTTATGTATGACATGATAAGTATTTGTTGCATGAATCAATCAACAAGGCAGGGGTGTGGAATTGAGGAAGGGTTGCTCACAGACTAGGACCCTTGGAATTCCTGGGAGTTCTTACAAAATTTTGGAAGGAAGAGCTCACTGGTCCCACTACTTCCTTCTTCCAGCACGTCCTCACTAGGCCTCTCTGCATCAGGCCTGTGGCATGCTTTGAGGACATGGGGATGAATGGGACACACTTCCTTTTCTCCAGGGTTCACAGCTTAGTGAGGGACACAGACAGGGAAATAAGTAAGGGACAAAACATTGGGGAAAGTGAACTAGTAGCAGGAAATTCAGGGAACAGTTAAAGTATGCTGAACCCTGGGGGAAGTTTAAAAAGGCTTTCTGGAGGAGCCTGAGTTTTGAAAGATGAATAAAGAGCTTGCCAGAGGAGAAGGTATGGATTGGGAAGGGCAGTCCAATGGAGGGAGTAGCTTATGCACAGACATGAAGCAGTACAGTGTACTAGAGGAACTAGAACCAGTCTCCATGGCTTATGCATGAGCTGTGTGGTGGGGACTGTGGGAGGCCACGCAGAGCCTCAAGAGGCTGTGCTAGAGAGCCTGGACCTGACCTTAAGGGCACTGGGAAGCCTTCAGAGGGCTTTGAGAAAAGGAAGGGTCAGGTTCAACTTGGTATTTCACAAAGATCACTCAGGCAGCTGTGTGGCAGACTGATTGGAGGCTAGAGATGAGGAGACCAGATGAAGAAATTGCACCCAGAGAGGGGCAAGAGTTTTCTTGACATTCCCTCAGACGTTAGTGATAATCTAAGACCTTCTGACCCCTAGTGCAGTGAATTTCTTGTGACATACATTTTACAGAAGAGGCAACTGAGACACAGAAAAGTGACTGTGTCTAAGGGATAGAAGTGGGAGTAGAGTCCTGGTGGTCACCCCCTGCCCAGTCTTCTGGTATGCCCTTTTGTGGTTAAGCTGGGGGTAAGGGGTACTGTTGGGCTGTGCCTCCAGGTGGACTGAAGAATGTATGTGGCCGCAGGGGGTGCTGGTGAAGCACAGCAAGAACGTCTACAAAGCAGTCGGCCACTACAACGTGGCCATCCCCTCTGACGTCTCCCACTTCCGCTTCCACGTGAGTCTCCCTTGGGCCTGATCTAGAGGGCATGAAGATCAACGGGCAGGAAGGTGGTGTCATAGCAAGAGAAAGGTTCCTAATCCATGATCCCCCGAGCTATTTTCAGTATTTCCCAAATCCAAAGGAAGACGATGCACCTATGCAGTACAAGGACGGCCATACAAATTATTGCTTAGTAACTGCAGCTCCCTTGGTAGTCGCAGATCTTTCAGAACATTGGGTGGAGGGGAAAAAGATGAGACAATAAAAGGAACAGTTCTTGGTAGTAAAAATAACAACTATAATTAATCCTTATTGTGTGCCAGGCACTGTGCTAAACACTTCCCATGCCTCCTCCCATTCAGTCTTCACCAGAACCTTGTGTGCGAGAGAAATGCCATGGCTGTCTCCATTTTCAGATACTAGAATAGGCTTGGAGCCCTGGTGGTGCAGTGGTTAAGTGTTTGCTAACCAAAAGGTCAGCAGTTCAAATCCACCAGCCGCTCCTTGGAAACCCTATGGGGCAGTTCCACTTTGTCCTATAGGGTTCCTATGAGTTGGAATCGGCTCGACAGTACTGGGTTTGGGAATAGGCTTAGAGAGTTTAACTTGTTCAGGGTTGTCTTGCTAGGAAACTTGGGAACTGATAATAATGATTCATGGACCCAACACTATTGAAAGGACTGCTCAAAACCATCTAGGCTAGTGGTCTTCATTTTATTTTAGTACTAAAATCCTTTTTTCCAACCCAGTCATAGCCCAAAGTCCAAACCTCATAGTACTGCTGTACTTGAAGGGTCATACATAACCCTCTTTGCTTCCTCCTCACCCCGGCTGTAGCCCTAAAGGAACCTCCCTGGAACCTGGGGCTGTAAGGAACACAGTATGAGAAATCACTGATCTGGGGTGATAGCTTCATTTTATAGAAGAGAAACCCGAGGCCCAGGAAGAGGAAGGACTTGCCCAAGGTCCTGCAGCCCATCAGGTGCAGAGCTTGGCCTTGGCACCCAGGTCTCTATTTCAACTCCTGTTTCCTGCTACCTCTTCCCCCATATTGTAAGCAATTCTTCAGGTTTAGGTACCTCAGCCCCCACAGAATCAAGACCCCTAGACAATCGAGTACTCTTTTGAACTGATCAGAAAATTTTTTTTTAGTCCCTCCACTCTACCTTGCCCTGTAAACACCAGGTTAAGAGTGAGATGTGGTCATGTCCCCTGGAGGCTTCAGGCCTAGCTGGGGTTGCTACACACGAAGTTGTGGGTTACTCAAGCTGCAGAGTTTATAATAACTTTCCATACCTATGTCATAAGATTCTTAATTGTTCAGGCCCGACAATAACTCAGGAGGATCACATATTAAAATGTACTGATTTTAGACCAGAAAAGGAATTCGAGAGGGATAAGATCTCTCAGAAAGGCTTTCTGGAGAAGGTAGAAGTTGACTAGGAATTTAAATGACTTATGTGGGAAACAGCAGTCCTGGCAGAAGGAACATACAAAGAAAGGCAGATGAGGTGGCAAAGTCCAAGACCAACCCCACAGTGTCTTCCTTCCCACCCAGATCTGCATGATGCCCCTTTATTTGTCCCTTCAGTGGTCCACCCAGACCCCCCAGCCTAGAGGCAGGTTTCTGGAGTGTTCCTTCCAGACTGTGCCCACCCTTTCCTGGGCAGTTCTTTTTCAGCAAACCGCTGAGGATCCTGAACATCCTCCTGCTGCTGGAGGGCGCCGTCATTGTCTACCAGCTATACTCATTAGTGTCCTCGGAGAAGTGGCACCAGACTGTCTCACTGGCACTCATCCTCTTCAGCAACTACTATGCCTTCTTCAGGCTGCTGCGGGACCGCCTGGTGTTGGGCAAGGCCTACTCATACTCGGCCAGCCCTCAGAGGGACCTGGCTCACCGGTTCTCCTGAGCCCCAGGGCAGCCCCAGGGCCAGCATCCAGGCTTCAGACAGGGACTCCCTGGCAAGGGGCTGTTGGGGAGGGTTGGGCGGGGGACAAAAAAAAAAAAGACAAAAAAAAAAACAAATCCACCAGAGCTTTGTATTTTTGTTACGTACTGTTTTCTTCCTTTGATATTTGATGTGATTATGAGGAAAAAAAAAGTCCTATTTTTATACTCCCAACAAGCCTGTGTCCTGTGGTTCTTTCCCTTTTTCCTGCCTACCAGGCTGAGAGCAGAGGTGTAGGATTCTGGGCTGGGAAACACCATGTGTGGCTTCTGGGCCCCTGTGGGTTCTGCCTCCTCCAATGGGAGAACAGAGGACAAGGCACCACAGGGCATGGTAGCAGTGATAGCTGCCGCTTCCTTAATTCTTGCCGTCTACCAGACGATGATTTGTATGTATTTCAGGCCTTGTCTGATCTCTTTTATGACAACCCTAGGAAGTAGATGGCACTCCTATAGATGAGGAATGGGAACTCAGAGAGCTATAGTGACTTGCCCAAAGTAACAAAGCTAGGAAGTGGTAAAACTAGGTAAAACAAACAAACAAAAAACTTGAAAGATCAAACTACTATCCTAGCAGAATGTGATGTCCTGCGTCAGCATGCAGTCACTGAGCCCCTGCTCTGTGCCAGGTGCTGTGGTAGATGGTGAGGATGCCAAGACAGAAACAAGCAAGTCATACTACACTGGGATGAGTATAATAGTTACAAGGTACAGAATAGCACAGGGGAGGGTATTTAATGCTCTATGGACTTCTTGAAGGAGGGGATGGTCTGAGTTGTATTAGCTGCTTCCGAAGTAGAGGCGAAAGGTGCCTTGGTGGCGCAGTGGTTAAGAGTTCGGCTGCAAACCAAATGTCAGGTTAGAACCTACCAGCTGCTCTGTGGGAGAAAGATTACAGCCTTGGAAACCCTATAGGGTAGTTCTACCCTGTCCTATAGGGTCGTTATGAGTCAGAATTGACCTGATGGCGATGATTAATGGTTAGGTGAAGAGGAGGGAGGCATTCCAAGCAGAGAAAAGGGCACATGCAATAGCAGAGATTTGGGACATCCTAGTGTATTGGGGGAAGGTACACAGAACGAGTCTAAAGCAGAAAGGATAAGGAAACGGGGCATAGATGGGGTCGGACTGGAGAGGTCAGCAGGGGCTGGATCAGGGAGGACCAGGGGCCCTAGGCTAGGGAAGGTGTATGAGCAGGTGCTAGAGTACAAACAAAACTGCTTGGAGGCCACCTGGCTCCTAGGGGCATAGGATGGAGGGTTCAGGGGCTGGAAGGAGAGACAGTCATAGCCACTCTCATCTATTAAGTGCACATTCCCTGAGCCCTTGTTGGCCACAGGGTACTCAGAAGAGCTCACAGTACTGTATGGGAGACGAACACTTAACAAATGTTTTGGGTGCCTCTAGGACAGAAAGATGAGGAAGATACTGTACCTTCCATAGACAACTGGAGAAACAGACGTACCTTATGAGCAAATTAGAGTGGTAAGTGCTGAGGAAAATGTGCATCTAGGGCCCTGGCGGAGCATAGAGGACAGATGCCCTGACTGTTGGAAAGACAGGCTTCTCAGAGAAGTTGAAGCTTAAATTTGTCCTGAAAGTGAGTAGTAGTTCACCACATGGTCAAGGGAGGGCACTGCATTCCAAGCAGAGGGGACAGCATATGCAGAGGTACAAGAGAAATAAAAATAGGAGCATATTTGGGGAAAAGTGAGTGATACAGTTGAAGCCTGGGTTTCCTGGTGGTGAGTGGCATGAGAAGCCCATAAGGGCCAGTCTGCACCAGATTGAAATGTTTGGGCATTAATTAAGTAGGACGTTGCTAAGCAGAGGAGTGACACCACCACCAGTTGCCATCAAGTCAGTTCTGACTCAAGGAAACCCCATGTGTGTCAGAGTAGAAATGTGTTCCATAAGGTTTTCAATGGCTGATTTTTCGGAAGTAGTTGGCCAGGCCTTTCTTCCCAGGCACCTCTGGGTCGACTCCAACCTTTCAGTTAGCAGTGAAGTGCGTTAAACATTTGCACCACCTGGAGACTCCAGAGAAGTGACAGTGGTAAGGTTAAAGCAGAGGTAAGGCCTCTGCTTTTAAGGAGATGGTGGGAGTGGGAGAGCCTGGAGTCAGGAGACCAGTGAGGAGACAGGCAGAATATACCCAGAGCAAGTGATTAGGTCTGACCTTGAGCAGTGAGGTAGGAAGAGAAAGGTACTGTTTCCTTTCCCGACCCCAAGTCCTAGAGTTCATCATTTATTTCCCTTAATGGGCAAAGCACACAACTAGAGTCGGCAATTTGTGTGACAGGCCCTGGGGACCAGCTATCATGTTCCTCATTCTGCTTCCAAAAGACTGAGCTACCTCCTAGGACCAGTGACTTGAAGACATAGCCTGGTTGTATATATGTTGAAGTAAGGGACAGGAGAACTGGCATGTCATTTTGCAAAAGGGCGGCCTAATACGTACCAGCCATAAATTCCATGATTCAAAAGGCACATGAACACTCCGAGCACTCATCTGTAAAAAGGGAGGTCATATCCCTTGCCTTGTGTAACTTACAGGGCTGTTTCATTCATTCATTTATGTATTCAGTAATTACTTACGTGCCAGATACTGTGCTAGGTGCTGGGAATACAGTTATGAACAATACAGAACTGACTCCTGCCCTCAAATAGCTTGCTGTAGGGATGAATGAAGTAATGATTGGGAAATTGCTCTGCCAACTGTAAAGCACTGCACTGGTCTAATTGTTTTTCTACTTCTTATCTCCCATTAAGACTGCAATCTCAACTAGTACTACCTGTGGTAGGCTGAGTCAGAAAACCTAGGTTTAGTCTTGACTTCTTCATTTCCCTATCTATACCCTGAAGCAAGTCAATTCCCCTTTCTAGGCCTCAGTGTTTTGTAAGGTTAAGATGACTCCTTATTCATATCCAGCTCAGGGTCTGTGATTGGCCTTAACTATGAAAGGAAGGGATTGGTTTCTGGAAGAGATCTCACTATAAAGAGGAAATAGTAGCAGAAAAAGTTGAAAACACCTAGGCACGCTCAACTTTTCTTAGTACGTATCCTTTCCAGTCTCCACCCACTCCTTTCATATTCTATCCGTATTCCCCACCTTTAGTGGCTGCGGTCACTTTAAGTGAGCGCCTTCTGTGTAAACGCAGCAGTGGGGCGAAGATCGCGTTTCATCCCGGGGTTGACTGCTAAATGGTTTGTCCGTTTCGGGCTGCCGTTCTGCAGATCCGCCATATTGTCTGCTAAAGCTACCGCTGAAGCTGCCGCCGCTACCGCTGCCGCTGCCGAGTCGGAGCGAGCGGGGCCGCGATGGGTGAGTAAGGAAACCAGGCAGTTGTGGAGTCGAGCTGAGGCAGTCTCGGGGCTAGGAGTCTGGCGAGATCCTGTTCTCCAATCTGCAGCGGCAAGTCTGAGGCCTCACTCACCAGATAGGTTTGAGGGGAGAAGCCTGAGCGGGAGTGCCCCTCAGGCCAGTTTGGGGCCGAGCTAGAGCCCGCGCGGGGCGCAGTCTTCGGGGGCTGGTTTCGGGAACACCTTAGTACACTTGGAGCCCCTACGTGGTGGCCCCCGGCTGGAGCCCACGCTTTCCCGGACACTAGAAAGGGACCGACCCTCCGCCTGCGCGGAGACTGGGGCTGAAGGACGGACTCCAGTGGCAGGCCCGGGAGGCGCTAAGGGAGCCCTCTCCCGGCGTGTGTTTTGGCCGACGCGGTGCTTGACTGGAATCAGTGGCGTCCCTGAACTCGGAGGAATCCTGCTTATGTCGCGTGGTATGGTGCTCTGGTGAGGCGAAGCCAGGCGAACCAGTTGCAGGCTGGTAACCAGGACAGTCAGGTGGAGGGGCCGCCTGGGCCGCTGAAGGCCCAGAGAACTTCCCGATCCTCGGCGGAAATGGGGTGATTCGATTGGGCTCAGAGTGACAGCCCTCGTTGTGGTAGAAAATGATAAGCCAGTGCCTCGTGGGCAGATTCAGGTTGGAGACTTAAGGTTTCTGGACCCAGCTCTGGTTAGGAGAAAAGGAGCTACCTGTTGCTCTTTCTGAGGGACTCTCGCTGGCAAGGCCTCTGCTCAGAAGTCTTTGGAATTAGAAACAGAACCAGCAGTGGTATCTCTTCTCCAGCAATAAAGCCATTAAACTTGCTAAGCCCTTTCTGTGTGCAGGTGCTAGTCTGATTACTGTGCATGTTTTACTTAATTCGCAGTTTAATGAGATAGATACTACTGTTATTTCTGTTTTGCAGATGAGGTAACTGAGGCTTAGAGAAGTAAAATAATTTACTCAAGGTCACACAGGCTAAAATTGAGTGATCAATCACTCCAGAGCAGTTTATAACTGCTGTTCTTTATGGCCTGGCCCTCTAGTGGTTGGGCTGGAAGAAGGGGAAAGAAAGCTTTCAACCTTAAGCAAAGTTTGTAAAGGTGTTTTTTGCTTGTGCTTTAGTCTGAAGGAAAAAAGGAGCCCTGGTGGTGCAGTTCGGCTGCTAACTGAAGAGTTGGTGGTTCAACCCACCCAGTGGCTCTGTGGGAGAGAAGACCTGGTGATCTGCTCCCGTAAAGATTACAGCCTAGAAAACCCTATGGGGCAGTTCTACTCTGTCACCTGGGGTCACTGTGAGTCAAAAATTGACTCGATGGCACCTAACAACAACAGTCTGAAGGAAACTGAAAAAGTCCAGAGTGAATTGCTAACCCCAATTATTTGGACGCTCAATGAGATTCTACATTGTTTTGTAAGATTCTGGGGAAACAAATGGTTCCCTTGTGCTGGGAGACAATGACTTTAGAATCAGAGCTGGTATTATAATCTGGCCTGCACTTCCAAGCTCTTATCCAGACAAGTCATTTAAATGTTAAATGCAACAATGCATATAGAAAGCATGTAGCACAGTCTACAACAAATGTTATTTTTCCTTTCCTCCTCTCTAGAATGGAGGTGTTGTCAAGGTGTTTGAGGATTAAATAAGCTAATAATGTATAGTGCTTAGAGCCTAGTAAGGGTTCTATAAGTGTCAGACTGATGCTTTTCCATCTTTAATGATGTTAGTTCCTTTCCCTTAAGCACTCTGGTTTCCAGAATCCTCCATTGAGTGATAAGACTGATAGGCCTGCCTTTGTAACTGAAGGTTTATGTATCAGTGAAAAACTTTAGGAGTTTTTATGTTGTAGACCGAGTCCCTGGGTGGCACAAATGGTTAAGGGCTCAACTACTAACTGAAAGGTTGGCTGTTCGAACCCACCTGAAGGAGCCTCAGAAGAAAGGCCTGGTTATCTGCTTTTGAAAGGCCACAGCCTTGAAGTGCAGTTCTACTCTGCAACATATGGGGTCACCATGAGTTGGAATCGACTTTGACGGCAACCGGTTGTGTCATAGACTTTGTATTGGCCTTCAATTTCAGGTACACTGGTGACTCAAAAGGAAGGAGCTAATGTTTAGTTTATTAAGCTAATAGAGATTTATTCAGTTTTTACAGATTGGGAAGCTACCTCAGAAGATAACACCTCTAGTAAGCAGCAAAGCCAAGAGTGAGATACTTAACCCATTTTGCTGCACCATAAGCCTCTAAGAAGACTTAAGTTGTGAGGTAGCCTTAGTCCTTTTCTGGTAGACTTGGAGATGAAAGTTCTTTAGTGGAGCAACAAAACCTGGTCAAGGCCCTAAAGGGGATCTTTAGCCTAGAGTTAGGTTGTTAGCTGCCTTGGAGTTGGCCCCTGACTCATGGTGACCCCATACACAACGGAACAAAACACTGCCTGTTCCTGCGCCATCCCCATGATCAGTTGCAGATCGAACCATCGTGCTCCGTAAGGTTTTCGTTAGCTGGCAGGCCCGGGAGGCGCTAAGGGAGCCCTCTCCCGGCGTGTGTTTTGGCCGACGCGCTAGTAGATCACTAGAACTTTCTTTCTAGTCTGTTTTAGTCCAGAAACTCACTGAAACCTGTTCAGCATCATAGCAACACAGTCTACCACTGAGAAATGGGTGGTAGCTGTGCATGAGATGCATTGCCCAGGAATTGAACCCAGGTCTCCCCTATGGAAGGTGAGAATTCAACCAGATAACCTCCCCCTCTTCCCTCCAACGCCGTGTACTGTACCTCTCCCCTACCCCACCTTGTGTTGTTTTGGCTAACCTTTGTACCTTGGGGTAAAACTTTAATGTAAGGATATTTAATCCTAACATCAACTCCCAGGTTATCCCCATTTTACAAATGAATACACTGAGGCTTTAGAAGATTAGGTGACTTGTGTAAGGCTGATGAACTAGGCCCTTTGGGGATCTACCCTCAACCCACCCCCCTGATTCCAGAACCCACTATATTTTACTGCCTCTCAGGCATGGTTTCCTAGAGCTCAAACCTGTGTCCTATACTGTTTTTCCTGTGCTAAATCTTCGCTAGCCTTAACAGACCTTTGTAGTGATTTCACTGCCTTTAAGAGCCCCGTGGGGGTGATCTTGCAGCTCTGGAGTTGCTTATTCTGACCCTCCTCAGCAGAGACCACAATCTCTGAAGGCTAAGGCACTAGTTGTCTTATCATTCCTACCATCTTGCTAATAGGGAATCTGGCAGCCTGCCCCTGGGGAAGCCTGGCCCCAGCCCCAGGGGTAGGTCTTGATTAGTCCAAAACTCTAAACCAGTAATTGTAATTCTATCTCCCTAGTCAGTGATTGATTTAGCCTTGCACCTATGATGCACATGTGAAGGGAAGCCTGAGGGGCTTCTGGAGAAGCTTTCCTTATTTGAAAGAGATTTTCCACCTTTTATTATTATTTTTGCCAGCCTGTATTTTAACTCAGGTTTTCCAAAAGTGTGAGCATTAAAAAAGAGATAGATGGGAAGCTATAACAATGTTAGCCAGCATTAACATATAGAGCTTGCTATGTGCTAGGTCCTTTGGGCATGTTATCAGGAGGGACTAGTCCCTAGAGAAGGACATCTTGCTTGGTAAAGTAGAGGGTCAGTGAAAAAGAGGAAAACCCTCAATGAGGTGGATTGACACAGTGGCTGCAACAATGGGCTCAAACAGCAATGATTATGAGGATGGCACAGGACTGGGCAGTATTTCATTCTGTTGCGTATAGGGTTGCTATGAGTTGGAACTGACTCGACGGCACTTAACAGCAACGACATGTGCTAGGTACTCTTCTAAGTACTTTTACATATTAACTCATTAACCTCTTAGATTTTCATGTTATAGTTGAGGAAACTGAAGCATAGAGTGGTTTAGTAACTTGCCCAAGGTAAGTGGAAGAGCCATTTAGGAAGTATGGTTCTAGCCAAAGTATGGACTATTGATGGCTGTGAGACAGCAGCCTCTGAAAAGCAAAGAGCCGTTTTCTGACTCTGAAATGCTATTTGCACTTGCTACCTGAAGTTTCATTAGCAGTTTTGGAATCATGAGGCAAATTTTATAAATAAGACAGGTAGTTCTGAGAGTGAGGGTAAATTCAGCTGCTGGAGGTGAGAGTAGAGAAGTTGGAAAGAACCTGACCACTTCATGATGTTTTTTGAACCACTGAATTAGCCAACTTTAGAACTGTTCTATCTAGTTTACTTTTGGCTGCAAGTAGCAAAAGCTTTCTAACTGATAGCCTTGAGGTCAGAGATAGTAATCTAGCTATCTCTTCTTTTAGTTTTCCTCTATCCTTGCCCAAAGAAGCTCTGGTGGTGCAGTGGTGAAAGTGCTCAGCTGCTAACCAAAAGGTCTGCAGTTCGAACCTACTAGCAGCTTGGCGCGAGAAAGACGTGGCAGTCTGCTTCCTTGAAGATTTACAGCCTTGGAAACCCTGTGGGGCAGTTTCTGTCCTATAGGGTCACTGAGTCGGAATCAACTTGAGGGCAGTGGGTTTGGTTTTTTTAATCCTTGCCTAGCCACTCCACAGTTTGTAACAGTTACCTTCAGAGAAGGCACTAAACCATCGGTCACTGCCTGAGTGTCCCATAAACATAAAACTCACTCCCCTTACTGGCCTGCTTCTCCTCCTTTTCTGTTAATTATGTGATCGTCGGCCCAGACACCATGGCAGGAAACTTATCCATCTTTGGTTCCTTACTCTTATCTGCCCTTTCTGTATTGGCAATTGTTGGATACTGTATGATCCTGCCACTGAGGTTTCCCCTAAATCACTTCGTGTAGGCTTTTCTCACAGCACAGCTCCACAAAGAGTATTAATTCTGTGATCTTTAACGTTGCTGTCTCAGGCTCCTCAAAATGAAAATACGGATAATAGTATTTTTAAGATTGTTAATGAAGATTCAGTGACGTATTGGATATCAGAAAGCACTTTTTAAAACTGTAAAAGTGTGTTACTTCAGA